AGCAGCAATTTATCAAAGTTTTTCAAAATCCTGTTTAAAAGCTCCAAATGGGGCTTCAGATCATATGAAGCAACAATTGCACTGTCACTGTTTTACAGGGCAGAATTTGCATTTGCTGATCCTTGTACTTAATTACTGATGAATATACAGGAATACAGACGTACAAGTGTCAACTCCTCTGAGATAGCAGGGGATGCAGTTTTTGGCAAGGACCTGCCACAAAATGCATCCCCCTTGTTTTTAACCTAAGAATTGTCCTACACACATGAAATTCACACTGGTACCTCAGCACACATGTGGAAGCATGTAGAAATTGAATCATCAGCTACAAATCTATATTTCTGGAAAAAAGCAGGGGATGCAATTTTTGGCAAGGACCTGCCACAAAATGCACCCCCCTTGTTTTTAACTTAAAGATTGTCCTACACACATGAAATTCACACTGGTACCTCAGCACACATGTGGAAGCATGTAGAAATTGAAACATCAGCTACAAATCTATATTTCTGGAAAAAAGCAGGGGATGCAGTTTTTGGCAAGGACCTGCCACAAAATGCACCCCCCTTGTTTTTAACTTAAAGATTGTCCTACACACATGAAATTCACACTGGTACCTCAGCACACATGTGGAAGCATGTAGAAATTGAAACATCAGCTACAAATCTATATTTCTGGAAAAAAGCAGGGGATGCAGTTTTTGGCAAGGACCTGCCACAAAATGCACCCCCCTTGTTTTTAACTTAAAGATTGTCCTACACACATGAAATTCACACTGGTACCTCAGCACACATGTGGAAGCATGTAGAAATTGAAACATCAGCTACAAATCTATATTTCTGGAAAAAAGCAGGGGATGCAGTTTTTGGCAAGGACCTGCCACAAAATGCACCCCCCTTGTTTTTAACTTAAAGATTGTCCTACACACATGAAATTCACACTGGTACCTCAGCACACATGTGGAAGCATGTAGAAATTGAAACATCAGCTACAAATCTATATTTCTGGAAAAAAGCAGGGGATGCAGTTTTTGGCAAGGACCTGCCACAAAATGCATCCCCCTTGTTTTTAACCTAAGAATTGTCCTACACACATGAAATTCACACTGGTACCTCAGCAAACATGTGGAAGCAGGTAGAATTTGTCACATCAGCTACAAATCTATATTTCTGGAAAAAAGCAGGGGATGCAATTTTTGGCAAGGACCTGCCAAAAAATGCACCCCCCTTGTTTTTAACTTAAAGATTGTCCCACACACATGAAATTCACACTGGTACCTCAGCACACATGTGGAAGAAGGTAGAATTTGTCACATCAGCTACAAATCTATATTTCTGGAAAAAAGCAGGGGATGCAGTTTTTGGCAAGGACCTGCCAAAAAATGCACCCCCCTTGTTTTTAACCTAAGAATTCTCCTACACACATGAAATTCACACTGGTACCTCAGCACACATGTGGAAGCATGTAGAAATTGAAACATCAGCTACAAATCTATATTTCTGTATTTTTTAATGTTTTATTTGCCCCAGAAACTTCCTCCAAGGAGAAGGGTGAAAAATGGAAGAAATGGTAAGTTAAGCAGACATTTTGGCTAAGCGAAATTAACACCTTTAACCAACATACTTTGAAAGAGATTTTGTTAAAAGTTAGCACCAGCATCCATCTGATTAAAAAGAACAATGTTTTTTTTACATACCATTGTTTTCTTCTATAGCTTCTCCGTTTTCATTGTTAACAAAGTAACAACAATATTGGTAAAATTCACCATGTACAAATACATTTTAATGCAAAATTATTAATATAATTAAAGACACAAAATGCAAAACTGCAAAACATTACCAAGAATGCTTTAAATAACTATTTATCTTAATAACAGTAAGAATATTAGTTATTATAATCTTAACAATGACGGACAGGAAAGCAACAATACCGTTACTAAATAGCAATTTATTAAACAGGACTGATTCCAATTGTGTGAGCTGCATTACACAATTTAAAGGAATAGTACACCCAAAACATGATTAGCCTTCATTTTCTACTCACCTCCATGCTGAACAACACTCTGGAGTACTTTTTTGATATCTCAAATGCATCTGGAGATCTGGGAGACTTCTTGCTGTCTGCTGACATTCAAATAATGGAGGTCTATGGCGCCCGAGACAGAAAGGTCCACAAAAGTCCACAAAAACTTGTCAATATTCCTCCATACTGCTCGTCCAATGTAATCCAAGTGTCCTGAGTGGGTAGCATCCAGAATTTACTCGAAACGAAGTCATTTAGAACGTTTTAGAGCCTAAACAGTAGTGTATAGGATTTCCTAATAGCGCCCCCATGCGCGCTCACGATTCTACGGAAGCCGGCAGACCAAACCAGCGCATTCAGCTCGGCAAAGAACTCATGCTCTTCCTCAACACTGAAGTCCTCAGACATTTTTCTTTCGTTGTTTCTTTCTTTGCACAGGTAAACAGCACATTTCTTCTTCTACGCTTGCATTATCGGCAGACCAGACGCTGAATGCGCACTTCCTTCCGGTTTGGTCTGCCGGCTTCCGTAGAATCGTGAGCGCGCATGGGGGCGCTATTAGGAAATCCTATACACTACTGTTTATGCTCTAAAAACATTCTAAATGACTTCGTTTCGAGTAAATTCTGGATGCTACCCACTCAGGACACTTGGATTACATTGGACGAGCAGTATGGAGGAATATTGACACGTTTTTGTGGACTTTTATGGACCTTTCTGTCTCGGGCGCCATGGACCTCCATTATTTGAATGTCAGCAGACAGCAAGAAGCCTCCCAGATCTCCAGATGCATTTGAGATATCAAAAAAGTACTCCAGAGTGTTGTTCAGCATGGAGGTGAGTAGAAAATGAAGGCTAATCATGTTTTGGGTGTACTATTCCTTTAACCTAATTCTAATTTTGTGTGGGATATCTAGTTTTACATGTACCTAAAACTTGTGAATATGAAGAAGGTTAGACATTTATTTTTTTATGTAGAATTTATTTGTTCCTTCTTTCAGTTACGTAACTTTATTTGTCTTTAAAAAAAATAGCTACAGAGTAGGTGTGGCTCCCCTGCTTTTTTCCAGAAATATAGATTTGTAGCTGATGTGACAAATTCTACCTGCTTCCACATGTGTGCTGAGGTACCAGTGTGAATTTCATGTGTGTGGGAGAATTCTTAGGTTAAAAACAAGGGGGGTGCATTTTTTGGCAGGTCCTTGCCAAAAATTGCATCCCCTGCTTTTTTCCAGAAATATAGATTTGTAGCTGATGTTTCAATTTCTACATGCTTCCACATGTGTGCTGAGGTACCAGTGTGAATTTCATGTGTGTAGGACAATTCTTAGGTTAAAAACAAGGGGGGTGCATTTTTTGGCAGGTCCTTGCCAAAAATTGCATCCCCTGCTTTTTTCCAGAAATATAGATTTGTAGCTGATGTTTCAATTTCTACCTGCTTCCACATGTGTGCTGAGGTACCAGTGTGAATTTCATGTGTGTGGGACAATCTTTAAGTTAAAAACAAGGGGGGTGCATTTTTTGGCAGGTCCTTGCCAAAAATTGCATCCCCTGCTTTTTTCCAGAAATATAGATTTGTAGCTGATGTTTCAATTTCTACATGCTTCCACATGTGTGCTGAGGTACCAGTGTGAATCTCATGTGTGTAGGACAATTCTTAGGTTAAAAACAAGGGGGGTGCATTTTTTGGCAGGTCCTTGCCAAAAATTGCATCCCCTGCTTTTTTCCAGAAATATAGATTTGTAGCTGATGTTTCAATTTCTACATGCTTCCACATGTGTGCTGAGGTACCAGTGTGAATCTCATGTGTGTAGGACAATTCTTAGGTTAAAAACAAGGGGGGTGCATTTTTTGGCAGGTCCTTGCCAAAAATTGCATCCCCTGCTTTTTTCCAGAAATATAGATTTGTAGCTGATGTTTCAATTTCTACATGCTTCCACATGTGTGCTGAGGTACCAGTGTGAATCTCATGTGTGTAGGACAATTCTTAGGTTAAAAACAAGGGGGGTGCATTTTTTGGCAGGTCCTTGCCAAAAATTGCATCCCCTGCTTTTTTCCAGAAATATAGATTTGTAGCTGATGTTTCAATTTCTACATGCTTCCACATGTGTGCTGAGGTACCAGTGTGAATTTCGTGTGTGTAGGACAATTCTTAGGTTAAAAACAAGGGGGGTGCATTTTGTGGCAGGTCCTTGCCAAAAACTGCATCCCCTGCTATCTCAGAGGAGTTGACACTTGTACGTCTGTATTCCTGTATATTCATCAGTAATTAAGTACAAGGATCAGCAAATGCAAATTCTGCCCTGTAAAACAGTGACAGTGCAATTGTTGCTTCATATGATCTGAAGCCCCATTTGGAGCTTTTAAACAGGATTTTGAAAAACTTTGATAAATTGCTGCTGTAATATTATAGATTTTTTAGAATAAAAAGCTAGCAGATGTGCATAAACAAAAAAAAAAAAAAAAATACAATACAGTTCAGTAAAAATACAGTTCTGTTTTATGCCTCATTCTTGTAAGTTTAAAATGTTCCAATGCTCCTGAATGCACCATAGCTTTCTGACGCGCAGCGAACGCATCTCACTGGTCTGTGAACGCTGTGCTGTGTAGATGCGCGTTTGATTTTCCACTTAAGAGAAAGCTTTGCAAACTCAAAACTCACGTCGGCTATCACGGTTTAGTGTTGTGTGTAAATAGCAAGAGACCACAACAAATAAATCAGCCGTACCATGGTCAAAATCTTTGGATTTAATGTTGTTCAAAAAATCCGTACTTTTGTAAATTAATCTGCCAGCTCCCGCGACTGGGGATGCATATTTCGGCAGGCATGCACTTTTGGGCATAACACCTGTATCTACTCTTATGCTATTTCTATGGTTAAGTGTTAGCAGGTCGACCTCCCCAAGATGGCGCCCGTAATTCCTGCGCCGCGACAGTCAATGCGGTTTCTGCTCTACGCAGCAGCTAATAAAATGAAACTAAAAAGTATTTCCGTTTATTTCCTTCAGGCGCCATTTTAAGTCGCAGACATCGAGACAGTAACCAGGGTGAGCTCTAACACTTTCTATTAAACACATTCTGTCCGTTTTTACATTTTTCTTTGGCTTAATGTCTAATATGTACCTGGAGGAGGAGGAGGAGGAGGTCAGCATTGAATCTGTTTATACTTGTTCAGGGTTGCGGCCCATCCTGAACCACCATCAGAACGGAATCGTCCGTTATTTGGCATTTAAACATTTCGTCCCGTATTGAACCAATAAGGTTTGTTCCTTGTTTTCAGAAAGGTCTGAAACACATATCTGTCAAAGTAACATCAACACGAACTCAGTTCACTTCAGTTTATTTCTATAGGGTGTAACTCTGGGATAAAAGTTGGTGGGGGGGCTCTAAGGGTGTGTGTGTGTGTGAGTTCGGGGGGGGGTGTACTCTAACCCCGAAATCCCACATCCTCCGTCACCGCTCCGCCTCGCTGCTCTCCAGACCGGAGTTTGAGGAGAACATGGGCGATATGATTAAATTCAAAGCAGTAAAACATGCGGAAATGAACCAGGGTTTCCGCGGATCATTAAAAATAATTACAATTCATTATTTTTTTTTAAATGAAGGCCTTAATTGGCACTAAAATTAATTAAATATGTCAATCGTGGCATTTATAATTATTTAATAAAAAAAAAATTATGAAAACAATTTCGTCAGATATATTATATCGCGATTAATTTGCGTGGAACTAATCATAAAGCCGTTTGCTCGGAAAGGAAGCTCGAGGCGGAGAAAAAGCTAGAGAATATATATATATATACATATATATGTGTGTTTGTGTGTGTTTACATACATACAAGAGTCATGATACTGTGCTTGCAACTCCTTCATATTTCATGTACACTAATAACTTGTGTACATGGTTCTTGTTGATGGCATTAAAATCATTTCTAATAGCATTAAAATAGCATTAAATTAGAGTCGCTCATTGCTGTATGAACCCTGTGAATGCTTAATTTAATATGGCATATTAAAAAAATCCCACCATCATCCAGCAGATGTTCAGTTTCTGCCCAAATATTTTTTTGTTGTAGATTTTTATAACGAGGATAAATAGGATCATTCAAAACTGCTTTTTAAATGAACTTACTTTGTTCTCTACTCCCAAACTCAGCATCTCTTCATCCATTCCTGCAATAAGAAGTTTCTTTTGAATGGATTTGATTAAACTTTTATTCCCTCGGTATAAAATACATATTTTGATGAAGATGAGAAATCTGCTTCCTCGTTGGTGAATAACCAATAATTTGCATCCAATCATTTAAATAAACTGTGTTAGTTTTTTTTCGAATATATAAGAATTATGCTATAATTTCTAGTTACTGATCTGTTGCTACTATATTTTAATTTGACGAAGCAGATTTTCTCGATGTTCTCTTTCCTGTTTGCTGCGATTGCAATAGCGGATCTTGACTTGGCCGGACCGGAGCGGAGCAAAAAAAATAGCTCGGCTCCATATTTTGTCGGTGACGGACGGAGAAGACGTACGTGAACGGAGAGGTGCGGAGCGCTGATGGAGTATGTGGAATCTGGGGGTGAGGGTGGGGGCTGATGGACCTACAGCTGCTCAACCTAAACGGGTTTATATTTTCCAAAAATGAGCTCATACATATTTATTGAATGTTTTCCTATTGTTGAGAACACAGAGAACCACAATACACTGATATTTATAGTTATAGACAGATGCCTGCCTTTAGTGCTTTATTTATAAAGGGGTCAAAAACATTAATGTATAAAAGGCCATATGATAGGGCTGCATTTCAATATATTCAGACCCAGATGGTTCCTGCTGGAATCAGGTTCCTCTGGTTCTCTACACACATGATGGGAATCAGCTTTCTGCTTTACAGGACACTAACTGGACCTGAACCACTGGGAACTGACTGGTTCTGGTTTCTCTCTCAGACTGACTGAAGTCCAGAAGATGGAAGATTGGAAATTAAAGGAGGGCAGAGCAGAACCTCCAGGATCCAGCTGTCCGTCTATGAGGAGTGACTGGTCCAAAGGTGAACCTCCAGACTTCAGTGCAGAACCTGGACCCTCAGTCATAAAGTAAGCAACCAATTTCTAACTGATCCATGTGACTCAATAGAGATAGAACAGCTAGAATGGGAACTGGTTGATCTTCAGCATCTAAATCCAAAGTTACTCTGTCCTGCCTTTTGTTAAAAGACAGCAAGAACTTCATGGCATGGATGAGTTGAATAAATAAGATAATACATAAGTTTATAGATTAAGATGAGTCCAAGGAAATCCAAGCTAAAAATATATAAATATTATATTAAATCAGAGAGAGACATCTCACCTTTGTCAAAGCTCTAAGTTAATTACATGAGGTAGTGAGTGCTCTCACTGTGAAAAATATCTTTGACGTATTTTTATCTGGAAAATCCAGTTTCAGTTTAGAATTGCTTTGCTCAAAAAAAGCACTTGAAATTGTGTTGAAAGTATTTAGTGTAAAGAGTACAAGAAATGTTTCCTAGATGTTTTTGTTAAAGCTAAGCTGGCTAAGTGTAAAATGTTCTGTTTAGGGCTGCAACTAACGATTATTTTAAAAATCAATGAATCGGCCGATTATTTGTTCGATGAATCGGACAAAAAATATTTTTTATATTAACCTCTTTATTCCAAAATAAACATTTTAGACAGAACATACAAGCACACAAGTACAGGTTGCTCATTAACTGTCCTGGTGCAATATGAAAAATAAATGTTTGTGTTAAAACTACGCAAACTTACATGAGAAATGTAGCTGTACATCCACAAAATATAGGGTACTTTGTTTCATAAAGCGCAAAAAAAGACATTTTTGTTTTTAAAAGCCCCTAAGGGGTTCAAACAATAGGCCCCCCCATTTCAACAAATTAGTTTTTTTTTAGACTAGAAGAGTTCTGCCTTTAAGACAGAAAAGTGTAGCAGTTAAAGTTGCTACTTGAGAAAATACTGAACCATAGAGATAAAAATAGCCCTGTGATTCAAATTATAAATTGTATTTGGAATAAAAATGAGAGAACTAGGGGTGCTAAAAAACACATCCTCCAAAGACAGATATTTACATGGGAATGTGGCAGATAATTAATTGACATATTACTGATCTTGCTGGATTTTATTCTGCTTTACTTCCATAAATTGCAGGATCTTCTTTACTTTATCTTTGCCAGAAGATTTAAACTTTAAAAGCCTTGCCCTCATAATTTGCAAGTTAATTTATTTATAAAGAAAATATAAACGCTGCTTAAGCTAATTCAAATGAAATTAAAAGTAAAATAAGTAGCCAACCTTATCACTGTCTGTAACCTACTAACACAGTAAGGAAAGCATCAGATGAGCTACCTGAGAAACTAACGTTACGTTTCCCCACTTTATAACGAAACAAACATGGTCGCTCACCCTGCTGATCAGCTCTCTTCACTTCCATTGAAGGCTCCAACGTGTTTTCTTTTCAGGGGCTGCATCATAACAGTGGTGCTTTCATGCCATGTCAATTTGTTTTTACAAAAGTTGCATGTTACGACTTTTTTCGCTTTACAAAGCGCAGGCTGTCTGCGAATTGAGGCGCAGCTCGTGTTTGCAGTATTGGTCATTAGAACAGTTAACGTTTCTGCCTTTTGAAAACAGCCTTTGCTCACCTGCGGCGCTGGCTCGCTCTGCCCTATTTTTTTTTCTTCCCGCGTTTCAATCAAGTGGCAGTGATGACGACGACGGCGGATGACGCATTAATCGCGCAACACAACTAATCGATGATGAAATTCGTTGCCAACGCTTTTAAAAGTCGATTTTTATCGATTTTATTGATTCGTTGTAGCAGTCCTAATTCTGATGATATTCAGATACAGATATTTGTCAGTATTTAGTGTAAAGAGTACAATAAATGTTTCCCAGATGTTTGTGTTAAAGCTAAGCTGGCTAAGTGTAAAATGTTCTGATAATTTTCAGATACAGATATTTGTCAGTGATACAATGTTACAATACAAAATACAAAAACAAAGAAAGAAATCAAACCAGATTTATGAATAAAGGTTCTTCAGAGAATGGAGGAAAAGTGAGCCTTGTGTGGAGAACTTTGTTCATGTTGTTCGCTGGCTGTCTAGCTTCACATGGTCACGCGTTGTGAGGACAGCACATCTTTAGTTTTTCTTTCAGCTTAAAGCTAAATAAACACTGGAACTTTAAACCTTCTGCTTCTCTGCAGCAGTTTGTGTTCAGAGCTTCTTCTTCTCTGGTTTTTATCTCAGAGTTTCTCACTGATTGATGTGATCTGAATAACAACATGTTTGTGTTTCAGAGGTCAGAACCACAGACGGAGAGCAGAACCTCCAGGATCCAGCTTTCCGTCTATGAGGAGTGACTGGTCCAAAGGTAGACCTCCAACCTTCAGTGCAGAACCTGGACTCTCAGACTCAGAGTAAGGAACCAGTTTCTAACTGATCCATGTGACTCAATAGAGATAGAACAGCTAGAATGGGAACTGGTTGATCTTCAGCATCTAAATCCAAAGTTACTCTGTCCTGCCTTTTGTTAAAAGCCAGCAAGAACTAGGGCTGGGTACCGAACTTCGGTTCTTTTATGGTCCCAACCGAAATGCTTCGGTTCTACAGAGTATCGAAACATGCCTCGTCTTTCGGTACCAAGTTTCGGTGATTGGCTGTAACACTTAACGTGATTGCGTCATCCTGGAAAAATACATAGGTGTTCATGCCTACAGCCAGGGTTCATGTGTATCTGTTGTGAACTGGTTGCAGCGTCGTGGAACCCCTTTAAAATGCCCCCCAGGTCAAAAGTGCGGCTTCACTTTATTAAGACTGATGCCAATAGTGCGCAATGCAATACATCGTGCACGGAAACAATTTAAGAGCAGAAAGTTGCTCGGTGTTTGACTGCAAGAAGAGCGGACCGCAGCCAGCGCGACCATCCTCCTCTCAGCAGCCCTTGAGGCAGAGCAAAGCCAGAGCGGAGTGAATCATGCTGCTTTCAAACTGGACGCAGCAAGAGCAGCAAAATCACGTCTGCTGCTTCCTTTTTGCTGCTTGTACCAGCTTCTGACACGTGGCTGAAGAAGCTTTGCTGCTCGAAAAGTGGCTCTGACGCGCGTTGGGCGCAGCTACTCTATCCTTTATTTGCCTTGCAGCTATATTTGCTGTGATACGTGGGGATAAAGTAGTTTTATTATGTTTTTAAGTGGGAAAATCCACCTGAAAACTTAATCAGTGCAGTCAGTTCATCCTGGCTTCCAATATTTCTGTCGGAGCCGCTCAGACCCCCACATACCAGCGGTGCGCTGTCAGTAGGATCCCATTCAACGGGCTTGTTTGTCAGACATGGTAATTTTTCTAAAGGAAAACTGCTCAGTAAAAAGGTCCTCACAATGTAACAGTGAATATTAGACACTGAATTTTTTTTTTATGTAAGAGGAAAAATGTAAATGGAAAAATCAGAGCTTAAAATAAAACTCAAGATTTGTACTTTTTTATGTTGTATAATTTTCATTTTCTTCAAATTGATATTATTAAAACTGGTATCGAAAAAAGTATCGTTCAGGAACCGTATCGAAGTGAAGGTATCTATATTGGTACCGGAACCGAAAAGTTTTGAACAATACCCAGCCCCAACAAGAACTTCATGGCATGGATGAGTTACAAAAATAAGATAATAAATAAGTTCATAGATTAAGATGAGTCTAAGGAAATCCAAGCTAAAAATATATAAATATTAGAGCTGCAACTAACGATTATTTTAAAAATCGATGAATCGGCTGATTATTTTTTCGATTAATCGATGAATCAGACAAAAATATTAACCTCTTTATTCCAAAATAAACATTTTAGACAGAACAAACAAGCACACAAGTACAGGTTGCTCATTAACTGTACTGGTGCAATATGAAAAATAAATGTTTGTGTTAAAACTACGCAAACTTACATGAGAAATGTAGCTGTATATCCACAAAATATAGGGTACTTTGTTTCATAAAGCGCAAAAAAAGACATTTTTGTTTTTAAAAGCCCCTAAGGGGTTCAAACAATAGGTCCCCCCATTTCAACAAATTAGTTTTTTTTTTAGACTAGAAGAGTTCTGCCTTTAAGACAGAAAAGTATAGCAGTTAAAGTTGCTACTTGAGAAAATACTGAACCATAGAGATAAAAATAGCCTGTGATTCAAATTATAAATTGTATTTGGAATAAAAATGAGAGAACTAGGGGTGTTAAAAAAACACATCCTCCAAAGACAGATATTTACATGGGAATGTGGCATATAATTAATTGACATATTACTGATCTTGCTGGATTTTATTCTGCTTTACTTCCATAAATTGCAGGATCTTCTTTACTTTATCTTTGCCAGAAGATTTAAACTTTAAAAGCCTTGCCCTCATAATCAAGTTATTGTTGTTCACTTTAAATTTTTCTGACTCTAACTAGTCCCGCAGTTTTCAACCGATTTTAACAATTTTGGTATCAAAACGTTCAGCTTGTTCATGAGAATTGTGCTATGTCTTTTGGTAAAGATATTTTTCGTGGTTTTTGCGATATTCTGCTTTTTCTGCGTTTTTTTTTGTCCCATTGAAATGCATGTAGAATTCTTAGATTTCAGCAAAATTCAGCTAAAACTTTATCATCTTCGACCTTTAACTACTTCAGCATACTTTCAGCTAGAAACACCATTCAACTTTTAAAATGTTTCCGTATATCTCTGCTATTACTGTTTAACTCAGCTTTTTGCTAACTTTTACAGTTTTGCTTCAGCGAAGCTTCAAACTTTAAAAGAAAATTTTTAGATTTTCAGATTTATAATGGAAGTCTATGGACGGAATTCTTCAACTGCTAGAGTGCGTGCTCTAGCTTTTGAGCTGTTCTGGTTTTTCCGAACAAATTCTTCTCACTCCCTCATTTTTCACTCAATTGAAATAAATTATACATCAAAATGTAGGGATTTTTGTCAGGATTCAGGAAATGTAACCCTCATTTGTGTGGCATTTACAGTTTTCCAACAGTTTGGCCCAGACCACGAAGAAGTCCACACTTCCCCAATAGAAATCCAATGAGAGACTTTCCAAAGATCACAGACAAATTCCAAAACGATACATATTTTCGTATCGCTCCCATTTCTTAACTATTTGATGTACTAACATGAAACTTGGTATAGAACATCTTCAGAATCTTCTAGCACTCACATTGAAGGAATTTCTTCAATATCACTTATCGTTTAGCTGTTTAGCTAACTTGTTTGTGCATAGGAAAACGTTGATTCTGAGAAAAATCCTCAAACTCAGAAAATACACATTTTTACATCGTCACTGTGGCCAAATAGTTTTTAGTAGAAACATGAAAGTTGGCACAGTCGAAGCTGAAGGATGGCTGATGTCCACGGTGAAAGAATTTTTAGAATACCTTTTACGGTTTTGGCTCACCACTCGTTTGTTGGGAGGGGAAGTTTTGCTTTTGACAGCTCACCTCTACCATGGAACTCCATGTTATTTAATGAGACCAGCAGGTGTGACAAACCTTTTTATTTCTCCTTCCCATTAAGGTTGTGAATGAGCTACAGCCATGAAAGTTATCCCAATCGGAGACAAAGGATAGCTGTCGCTTAGACTGAAATAATTTTTTAGATACCATTTACGGTTTGTCTTCAGCACTCGTTTGTTCGGAGCTGATTTTCCTATTCAAAAAAGCCTGAGAGGAAAGGAACGAAAGTGAAGCGCTTTTCTCTCTTTCACTGACAGGCTCGTTAAGCGTTGTCAAGGTAACCGAGCTTCAAAGGGATTTTACCTCTGCCACTTTAAACAGCACATTTGGGGCGACAGTGGCGTTGGATGTAGGAGTTTGCCCTGAAATCGAAGGGTTGACGGTTCAAGCCCCGACTCCGACTTTCAGTGTCGTTGTGTCCTTGGGCAAGACACTTCACCTGCATTGTCTACTGATGGTGGTCAGAGGGCCCGGTGGCGCCAGTGTACGACAGCCTCGCTTCTGTCAGTGAGCCCCAGGGCAGCTGTGGCTACAATGTGGCTTGCCACTATCAGTGTGTGAGTGTGTGTGTGAATGGGTGAATGAATGTAGTGTAAAGCGCCTTGGTCAAGTCTCCTAACTTGAATAAAGGCGCTATATAAGTACATGCCATTTACCATTTACCATTTTAATCTAATGGAAGGAGACAACAATGATTTAAAATTTGGATATGGATACAATATGACTACTGGCCATGACCCTTCCCTTCACACGCAACCCTGATAGACTTTCAAAATAAGACTCCGGGGACCCTTCAAAATAAAAGCCCCTACATTAAACTCATTTTTTCCCCAGCATATGGCTCAAAATTATGACCCAAACTCAACCACTTTTTTAAAAATGAGACTCTAGGGGTTTTTCAATACACACCCCACAGCAAATTTCAAAATAAAAGCCTCCCATTGCCACTTCATCTACTCCCCTAATAACAGGGGAAAAGAGTGATTTAACGATTGGAAAGTCATCAAGTATCACTGCTGGGTCTGACCCTTTTCTCAACACACAACCCTGCTAGACTTTCAAAATAAGACTCCAGTGACCCTACACAATAAAAGCCTCTATATTGTACTCGCGTATTAATTGATGCAAATGGCTCTGCATTATGACCCAAACTCTAACAGCTTGTTTCTATTAGACTCTAGGGACCTTTTCAAACATACCCCGGAGCAAATTTCACAATAAAAGTCTCCCATTTACTCTCTAATACAGCATCTATTCACCCAATACCATGAAAAACCAGTGATTTCATATTTAGAAATGGATTCTACACTCACCGGCCACTTTATTAGGTACCCCATGCTAGTAACGGGTTGGACCCCCTTTTGCCTTCAGAGCTGCCTCAATTCTTGGTGGCATAGATTCAACAAGGTGTTGGAAGCATTCCTCAGGGAGTTTGGTCCATATTGACATGATGGCATCACACAGTTGCCGCAGATTTGTCGGCTGCACATCCATGATGCGAATCTCCCGTTCCACCACATCCCAAAGATGCTCTATTGGATTGAGATCTGGTGACTGTGGAGGCCATTTGAGTACAGTGAACTCATTGTCATGTTCAAGAAACCAGTCTGAGATGATTCCAGCTTTATGACATGGCGCATTATCCTGCTGAAAGTAGCCATTAGAAGTTGGGTACATTGTGGTCATAAAGGGATGGACATGGTCAGCAACAATACTCAGGTAGGCTGTGGCGTTGCAACGATGCTCAATTGGTACCAAGGGGCCCAAAGAGTGCCAAGAAAATATTCCCCACACCATGACACCACCACCACCAGCCTGAACCGTTGATACAAGGCAGGATGGATCCATGCTTTCATGTTGTAGAAGCCAAATTCTGACCCAACCATCCGAATGTCGCAGCAGAAATCGAGACTCATCAGACCAGGCAACGTTTTTCCAA